AGGAAAACTTATGCGCTGGTAGTAGTATTTGTGAGGGAGATGGATGTACGAGGAGGTACCCAAAAATAACCGGAATAGCTTTGCAGTGGGCGGAGCTTGTGTAGTACACATTTCTGCCCCTAGATTCGAACAGCGCAACTCATTATCAGTTCAGTGCCACCTGAGTTGTCGATCTGGCTTATTTTGTTACTCTGTAGTCATTATTTTTTGTAGATCTGTTTCGTGCTTGTTTTGTTTTGTACGATAGCAAGCTTCAGTGAGCAACGGGCAGCTGTGAAATTTTGCTTTCTAATTGGTAAAAATGCTGCTGAAACTGTTTTAATGTTGAAAATAGCTCACAAACATGATGCTACGGGAAAAACTCAGGTGTACGAGACCCGATTTGTGGGAGTCAGGAGACTGGTTCTTCCACCTGCGCAAACAGTTTCTGACTAAAAATGGATGCTTCCGCTTCCTCGCGCACCTTATTCGCCTGAACTGGCTCCGTGGATGGAAAGGGCATGAAAGGACGCCGCTTTCACGACATTGAAGAGGTCAAGGAAACAACGAGGGATGAGCTGTGAGACATTTCTAAGGAAGACTGTTTCGAGCAGTGGAATTACCGGTGTGATAAGTGTATTAGTTGTAGTGGACAGTATTTTGATTGAGATATGGTTACTTTGTGAATAAGTTGAAAATAAATAGCTTTTAAAAAATAATTTCGTATGTTTTTGGGTACCCCCTCGCATAAACGTGATGCCGGTAGATTTAGTGTGTCCCGTCAAAAACCGTAAATTGATTGGTGTCGATTAGCTCTGAATTACAAAAATTGTTCCCAAAAGAAGTCAGAATGTCCTCAGGCCGCCCCTGCATACGGTTCGGGAACGCGTGGTCCATCGTCGCAGGATAGCCGAGGGATGCGATCCTGCTGCTGCGAAGGGTCCCTTCGCCTGATGCAGCCACCTCCTGACCACGATGGTGGTGGTGGTGGGTGGTGCATAATAGGATGGATATCACCAAAACCACCGCATCCCCATCACAAACCGATCATTTTGTTTGTCACCCGCTACTTGCATGCACCTTGCATTCCTGCTAATGCACCTATTTCCGGAAGTGTATATAACTCTCCGTAGATTGAGTTAGGTCTATTTATTTTCAAGAGAAAATATGAAATATTTGTTGAATTTTCATATTCTCCAGAAGGTTTCAGAGTTCTTGAAAGTGTTTTTGTGAGTGTTATTGTGATACTTGAACCCGAGGTAAGTGAGTGAATTATAATGTATGTAGACCTCGCGAACCATACATAAATTAGGCAAAAAATAGTGTAAATTCTACAAAAACAAGCTTAGAATATTTGATTCTTTTTATTTTGAAGCGCTTAGAAAATGCATTTTTTTTACTTCAGCGAAATTTTTTTATTTTTTTTTAGACGTGAGAATTTTCACAAACAAAAAATATTTATTATAACTTCTGGTACGTGTATTTATTGAGTATTACAAAAAAACGGAATAAGTCATTTCACCTGATTTTTTGAATATCGTAAAGGTTAAAGCATTTTTCTGGGGGCAAATTTTGCTAATTTTTTCCGCACTTATAATAATGAAAATTGGTATTTTGGTCTAATTTGTGTATGATAATCTCGTTTTTCTAAGTAATGAAAATTATGTCAATTTAATAAAATTTAAAAATTGAAGGCGGAAGCGACTATATGGAAAAATAAAATAAATGTAACAGCTAACTACTACGGTTTCAAAAATGGGAATGTGTCACCATTTTTTAAATTTATTAGAATTTACTTTAACAGCCGTCAGCTGTACAAAAAAAGTCACCTAGGTTGTCCAAAGAATTATTCATGATTTTTGCAGGAAATGTTTTGATGCTTTGATTATCTATTTTTTTGTAAAAGTGTATTGAGTGATAAGCAATGTTTCCAGAGCTTGTAGGTTTCTGAAAAAATACAGAACCAATATATAACCACCCAAATAAATCACACTTTCAAATGGCACAAAAACTCTTAGCTGAGTTCAACCCTGAATTAGTTTCATCTTTATCTTTGAAGTCATATTTTCTTCTTCCATTTCTCTTTCCTTTCTACCCTAACGATGTAGATCTTGTGAATCACCAGACCTGAGAAACTTATAAATTAGAACGATCACTCAAGACTCAGGAGCTAAAGTTCTATCGGCTATGGTACCTTGGAGTGATCAATTTTTTATTCAGGTTACTGAGTGTAACCTCACATTACAAAGCTAATATCTTTGATAGGAACTTCCACCAGAATACACCTGTCGAATGTCGAATATTTTTTCAGATACACCTTCGTCATCGTTTTTGGATGAAATAGACTTTAAATTCATATACTCGTATGCTTTATTTTCGTTAAAAATACCACAGCGAATTTATTTGGGCAATCATAAAATCTTGCATGAAGGGGAAGAACGAAATTCTTATATACGTAACGCAAATTGTAAAACGGCTGTATAACGTTCGGTAAGATTTTCAAAATAAACAGATAGTTTACCTGGAAGGAGCAACTCCAAAAAAGTCCAGACAGTAGATGCTTCATAAAGTATTAATACTAATTATATTCGAAACATATAAGTAAGTGAATTGCTTCAATAGCGCTTACTTGCCTTCTGTTCTATGCTTTCTGTTTGATCTCCTATGTTCTCCATTTCGTTTTTTACCTATCTTCCATTAAATTTGTATGATTCCAGATAATAAAAAAAACAGAATTGCAAACGGTAACTGTGACACAAAGTTCCACGGACCGCTGCGACCACCCATGCATGTCTTGGTTTTACAGTATCTTCCTATCTATATCCATATCTTGAAAAAAATATTCCAAATTGAAAATTTCTGTCAAACAAATTCCAAAAACTTTTTTCGCTTCAGTCGAAGTGTCCTTAGGCTTTTTAGGACATTCATTAGGACTTTTCTCCAAAGTTGATAGTTTTCAAGAAATAAGCGTTTCAATATTTGAAAAATTAGGAAATATGCCATATTCGTCATCGAAAAATAATTTGAAAAAACAAAAAAATAATCGAAATAAGACAGCACAAAGTGCCATCTATTACCAGAATCCTTATATTCTGGATAGAGGATAGTTGCTCAGCTTTTGTTCGTTGTCCTACCTCATATCAAGCCTAGATCATGCTGATGAGTCGCAACATAGCACCAAACAGCTGTCGATGGTGGGCCGTCTGTGGTCGGGCAAACGGAAGCTATATTGCTAGTTGCCAAAGGTTCTGAACATTCTTCAAAGATCCATTAACAAATTCCTAAAGAACTTTAGGGGGAATTGTAATTATAAACCTTTGTTTTTACTTCCCACGCCTAGAAGAAACTTTGGAGTTTTCTGACCTGTGACATAAATTTTTTACTACGACGATTTCTGTATTGTAAAATATTGAATATTAGGTACATACTGGCAGGTATTCCAAAGGTTCTGAACAATTTATTTGGGCACCCTTAAGGTCTATTCACACTCAGCCGTGACGTGACAGTGCCGTGACGTGCCAATGATTCTCGCTGACGTGAGCTCACAGTGTTTTCAATTCACAACGGTCAGTATTTTTATCCGTGCTCTGACAGTGCAGTTGTGCTCATGTGAGGTCGAGATGGCAAAATTTTCAGCGGATGAACTTGCAACTATTGCATTAATTTTGCATTTTTTTATACTCCAACTACCACTATTGCATTAATTCTGCATTTTTTTTTATACTCCTACTACCACGAATGCCTAAGGCCTAGACACCCATGGGGTACCGTGGTGCTATAGGGGGAAACACAGGGGAAAGGGGGGAGCGCCACACGGTCTCTGGCGAGGGAACACGTATGCATGAAACATGCACACATTCTGGCCCCGCCTACGAGATCCGCCGGGTGGTACCTCCGCGTTCGACAGTCAGAGACCATCTACCACCTACGAAAGATGAAGAAGTCCATGTATTTTGAATTTGACTGATTCTAGAGCACGGGATGTACACGCACAAATTCAATTAGTTTTTCATCATTCGTGTTTTTGACCCATTATATCAAATTATTCATGAAATTATATAAAAACACGGCCGTAAAAATCGAAAAATTCATTCCAAAACAATGCGATGGACACGGTACGGCGTCGTCGAGAGCACTGAGAACACGGCCACTTCCACGTGCCGGTCTAGTGTGAATCAGTTCATCCAAATTCCAGAAAGAATCTTTTTAGTTTCGGCGGGCGGATTACGTGCCAGTCACAGCACTGTCACGTCATGGCTGAGTATGAATAGGCCTTTATTTGCAAATTTGTATTTTCCATTTACTTCTGGGAAGCTATAGACAAACACAAAATAATCATTTTTAATTAACGATTGTAGAAAATACGACCATACTTTGTCAATGTTCGGTTGATAGTAAATGACAGCAGCTGTCATACTTAGGTTATACTCTTTTACTTTCCACGCCTACTGGCGGGAAGAATTGTAATCCTGAGAACTTTGGAAAATGAGATATTATGTTTCGTGGATGTTACATGACATGTACTTCACGAAAAATCACGTAATACAATGTTACTACTTTGCCAAGGACGCAAGAGCTTTGTAGTTTTTGATAATCGGTCCAGTGGCGGCTGACAAAAAGGCCAAAAATAAAAATCGCTCAAACTTCGTTTTTTGACGTTCCAGACGATCCTGATCATTTTCGGAAATTTTTTGTTAGGGTTAAATATTGGGGGTTGCAAAATACATTTACAATTAAAAAACAAAGATTTAAAATAACAGTACCCCATAAAATGCATTTTGATTATTGATGTTTGAAGAATAGTTAGGGCAATTGGCAACATCAAATAGTTCCTTTCATGTTGTTTGACGGGTTCCAACAATTTCATACCAAATAAGTAAACTAATAAATACAATCGATATTGTATATTCAGGCACATCTATGTTTTATATCAAAGATTAATATGGGTGGGTACAAGTCACACGCCCATGACAAGCAGGTTGTCATACTGACAGGGACAAGCATAAATGTAGAAGGTACACGTCGGCAAGAAAATGTTCATGGTGGTGAGACAAAATTAAAAAACGTAGTAGTTCTACTGTAGCCCGCTTAAAATCATGAAAAGATCTATATTCCGTAATATTAAATCGTTCATATCTCGAAAAGTTCCAAACTACTTTTTGTTTGTTCAGGATATTCTAAGAAAATTTCGATCGGAGCAAAAAATCCAGTTATTAATTGGTTTAAAAGAATGCTTGAACAACTTTTGACGCAATTTTGGGCCTGGCAACATGCAGACTGTTTAAAGGAGTCTTTGCAAATCAGATTATGAAAAAAATACGAATCTGAATATTATCACGAGCGGATGCGAAGACATACCTGTACTATACATCACAACCTGTATACAGAGTGATTCACAAGTCGTGACCAAAAATGAAACATCATACACAGGACTGCATCTTAAGAGGGGTCTTCTATGTAACATTTTTCCCTCAAGGGCTGCATTAAAAAGATACGGGGTGTTGAAGTTTAAAAATAAAAAACATTTTTTTTATATCTTCAAAACCATCAACTGGAATGAACTAAAATTTGGTATGTGGATTTACCTAAATATTTTCCACATTCAAAGTGGTGGAGATACGGGGGTTAGTGGCATTATTTTTCCAAATAAAAATAGTGCGTGTTTTTTTCGAAACGCGCAGTTTTTCGAATTTTACCTTCGATTTGTTTTTTCCTAGAGTGCATTGTTTTCGTAAACTTAAAAAAACAAATTAGATAATCAAATCTTTCTTTCAAAATGTTCAAAAAGATCACCATTCTGACGGATACAAGTGCGGCATCTTTTTAATAAAGAAAAACGTATTTCTTCAAAATTGAGTTCATTCCAGTTGACGGTTTTGAAGATATTAAAAAAAACTTTTTATTTTTAAACTTCAACACCTCCTATCTTTTAATAAAGCCCTCGAGGAAGAAATATTACATAGAAGCCCCCCTTAAAATGCAGTCCTATGTATGATGTTTAATTTTTGGTCACGACGTGTGAATCACCCTGTATATCTTCAACAGGGATCTTAGACCAAAAGAAAGAAAAAAGGACTCTGTATACAAACGAAACGATGAATGACATTTGCAACTGGCGACGTGCAAGCGGCATGTCATCCCATGTGGTGGAAGGCGGTCACCAACTCCAAACAGTGGCATCCGGTGGTGCCATCGCAATCTCGGGACTCGTGACAGGAGCCACGGATCTGCTGGTACCCGGAAGAGTTACAGCAGCTGCACCAATCCAGCAAGGAGCGGTCAGTGCTCCAATAGAAGCGAGAAGTTTGCTGGGGAAGCCAGATGTCCAGCAGGTATGTTCAAAACAGGTGTTTGAATGCTTTGATGACACTTACAACGCTTATTGTAGTGTGATTAGGATTCAATTTTTCCTGCGATGCAATCTTCTAATTCAAACTTGTTGTCTTCCATAATCGTGATATTGTTTTACAATAAAGGTTCCCCCAGTCCGACGCGATACGGCGATAGCTTCAGCGTTAAAAATTGCATTTAGCCCGATAGCTGCACGTTCAGAGCACCGCAGTACGGCAATTTTCTTATCTGTGCGATATTCTCAAACGTTTTTTGATTTCTTAGACAATATGTCTTCTGATGAAGAAGAACTATTATTATTATTGGCCTTAGCAAAAGATAAACGGCGAAACAGGTAAGTATTTTGAAGATAGTCATGATTAATAATTGCGTTTGAGGAAAAAGAAGAAATGGATACATGATATCAATAAACAAAGAAAGATATATGGAAAATATCATACTTTAAAGCCCGAATTACGTAGAGATCCATAATGTTTTTACGTATACTTTCGAATGACTCCCGATTGTTTTGATGAAATCTTAAATTTAATGTGATTCCACACTTTATCCTTTTACATGCAATTTTTATAGTCTTCGTGACTTAAATCGAACAATATTAGGTACTGCTTAACTTGTTCAATCAATTTCTCCGTTTTGGACATCGTGAAAAACGTGACGAAACGCGATACGAACCGCGCCAACAGCGTTTGTTTGTTTGAGATTTATTTAGCATCATTGCTACATTTACATTCTTCTAAAAAACTAAACATTTACATAAGATACAGATATTCAGAAAAAAAAATTTGCATTTCTAAGAATTTACATTGTCTATGAAAATATTCTTTTAATTTTCTTTTAAATATCTTTAAATTACAATTGGTTAAATATTTACGATTTTCGTCAAGTCAGAATTTAGCATTTTTAAAGCAGTGTCTATATTTTCATCTGATATGTATATTAATGTATCAACTGCAAATATCTGAAGTTTACAATAATCTAAAATATTACAAATATCATTAATGTATAAAATAAATAGTAATGGACCTAGTTTACTACCTTGTGGTATACCAACAGAAATATTTTTTGATCTTGATAATGTAGATAAAATTTTGGTTTTTTGACTTCTGTCAATTAAATAGTTTTGTAGAATTTTGAATACAGATCCTTTAAATCCGTAGTGATGCAATTTTGTAAGTAATTTATCCCTCAAACTCCTTTTTGAAGTCCAAAAACGCTGTTACTGATGTTTCCGATTGTCCATACATCTCCTCCAGTTCTCTAAAACCATTTGTGCTGCCGTTTCAGTTGAGTGTTTCTTCCTGAATCCAGCTTGAAATTTGGTTAAACTGTTATTTCCCTCAATGAATTCGATGATCTGTTCGTAAATAATTTCTTCAAAAACTTCTTCAACATCTGGCATTGGTCGCATATTGGTGTACAACTCAGAATTCTTAACTTTAGAAACAGGATAGAACACTTCAGTTTTGTTGGAAATTCGCCATATTTTAAACAGTAATTTATCAGGAATAATATTCGTGCTCCAATAATATCAAAACATTCATTAAGCACACTTTCAGACAAAATCTCACTTTTGATTTGAGTTAATTTTTGATATAATCTTATTGATACGATGTATGTACTTTTTCTCATACGAGAAACAATGTTTTTCAACGTTTTCCACATATGTTTCCTATTATTTTTACTCTGATCAATTTTGGCATTGTAATATTTTTTCTTTTTATCTCGTAGAACTGCTACAGATTGGTTTCTTGATCTTGTGTATTCTAGCAAATCATTTTCACTTCCAGTAATCATAAACTTTTTATAATTGTAGTCTCTTTTTAATTTAGAATCCTTGAACGTCTGCGAGAATCAAGGTGTTGGATTTTTCCTTTTATAAATTGTTGTCTTGACTGTAGCTTCTTTTATACAAACTTCAACATTATCTAATAGGCTTATATAGTAGGTATCAACATCAACAAATGCTCCAGTCATATCTTGCAGTAAAAGAGCTTCTCGTAATTTTAAATAGTTAATATTAGTAATTTTGTTAACAACAAATTTACATTCAACTTCAAAACATATCCATGAATGATCACTGATCTTAGGAGTGTGTATAACTTTAGCAATTAAATTTTGTTCGATCGTTATTATCAAATCTATAATTGTTCTTGATTGATTTTTAATTCTGGTGTGATCATAGACTTTTTGCTATAGTCCATAAAAACTGAGTACCTGTTTAAATTTCTTTGCGCAGAAGTCTTGATTATCAAAATTTATATTAGAATCACCCCAATGTACCGTGATGCAGTTTCGATAAAAATGTTTTTCACAGATATTTTCGAAAAAATCTATAAATCTGTTTATATTTCCAGTTGGAGATCTGTAGTAAATGTGTAAATTATAATTGTGCTTAAGATTCAATTCAACATTGATATACCACCATTGGTAATCAACAGCTACAATTTCATGTACTCTAGTTTCTATTTCACATAAAATATATACTAATATACCATCTCTAAGTCTGGTTAAATTGTGTTTGCTCTTACAATTTGAAATTAAAAGCTGTCAATGCGATAAATCGCGGGCCACCCCACACGCGCTGGTGTGATCGGTGTTATTTACCGCTCTGAAAACTGACAATGGACAGCGGTGCGATTATCGCTATCGCCTTACCACGTCGGTGTAGGGTCTAGGGGATCCTTTATTCGAATTTAAGTTTTTAGAACTATACTAAGTGACATATAAATCTGAACACCCAGTTTAAATGGTTTTATTTTAATAAAATTTTGTATAAGTACTTAATGAAGCATAATAAGTAAATGATAAAAATTTCAAAATTATTGCACCGCTTTAAAGCCCTTTGACCTTTAATAATGTGTGGATGCACCCTGATGTGCTACGCATTCTCCAACGCGCCTAGGCATGCTTCTGATCAGGTGGTCAATGTCCTCCTGTGGTATCTCATTCCAGGCAACCACCAACTCCTCTCGAAGTGCTTCTAGAGTCTGAGGAGGACGTTGCAAATTGAGCAATCTCCTACCTATCATATCCCACACGTGCTCAATTGGGGATAAGTCGGGAGATCTTGGTGGCCATGGTAACAATGTGACATCATTATGTTGAAAGAAGTCTATTGTGACTCTTGCAACATGTGGTCGGGCATTATCTTGTTGGAAAGTTGGATCTGCCAGGGTGTCAAGATAGGGTAAAAGATGGGGTTCTAGAACTTCGTGGATATAACGCTGCGCGTTCATGTTACCTCTGATAAAGATTAAAGGTGACCTGGAACCATAAGCTATAGCACCCCAAATCATAACTCCAACAGTGTGATGAACATGTCTTTCAACAAAAAACTGTGGATTCCTCCTTTCACCACGTCGCCTTCTAACCCTGGCACCACCATCGTGCATGCCTAAACAAAATCGAGACTCGTCACTAAAGACAATACTGTTCCATTCCTGATCCCAGAGTGACCGTTGTCTGCACCACTCAAGGCGATTACGTCGGTGTTCTCGAGTTAAAGGGAGGACCCAGTGTGGCCGGTATGAAAACAAGCCAAAACTTCTCATTCGTCGGTAAACACTTCGCATGCCAATAGGTCTTCCGTGTTCTGCAAACCATTCATTTGCAATGGACCTGGTAGTGGAGAAACGGTCCCTTAAGGTCAATAATCTTAGGCGGCGATCTTCACGGTCTGTTGTTCTACGGCGGCGTCCAGTGCCCCTTGCTCTTTGCGTACGGCCTTCTCGAAGCCATGCCTGACAACACCTAACCACAGTGTCTACACTTCTTTGCACTCTAACTGCAATTGCCCGAAAAGAAAGTCCAGCTTCCCGAAATCCCACTATACGGCCCCTATCAAACTCACTAAGTTGACGAAATCGTACAGGTCTCCGTACTCTAGCCATCGTAACCGATCGTAAAGGATGTCAAGAACCAAAATCCGCCAACGTTGATTCTTTACTGCGGCTGAAATATTCATTTTTAGAGCGTTAGTGAATTAAAAAAAACAGTATAAAAACCGGAATGTCCAACTGATAAGGCTGAAAATTTTTTCACTTGTTATTTACAGTAAGATAAATACATTCACCAACTTTAATTAAAATAAAACCATTTAAACTGAGTGTTCGGATTTATATGTCACTTAGTATATTATGTTGTCTCAGAATATAAATACAACGCTGTAGAGTTGGTATCAATATTTGCACGAGGACTTTTCTGTACACTCTAGCACCTCTCACCCAAGAACACTTTTGATTAAAATGGTATGGGGGTCAATATATTACAATGTCGGTCAATTTGTCTTAAAACGGTGTTTCGTAAAAGTGTGGCTAGGGCTCGAGAATTGGACAAGCAATAACAATATCGCGTTGTTGTGATCTGAGAATGTCAATAAAATTGCGTATTGATATTACGAAAGCGTTCGATCAGCCGTGGTATGCTGCCCTCTTAGCGGGCTCTCACGCCGGAGCAATACGCAATAGACAACCACGAATTAGCAATTAGCGATAGGCAATATAATAATAATAATAAATGGCCTTTATTCGTCACACGATTACAAAATAATTGGTTTAAAAGGAACAGTGACGAAAAGGTGGAGTGTCAGCTTATGCTGTTTTTCAACCCGACCTCACAACATTGACCACCAAAAAAAGAAAAAACTTAGAATATAACACTTATCAGAGAAAGGAAACAATCAATTACCTGTGGATATGCATAAAGTAAAATTTTAGCCATCCGACTGCTTTAAACTCATCTTTAACCTTTTTTTAAAATTGCTTAGGCTATATTCTTTATACTCACTTGATAAGCAGTTATATAGTTTGGGTGCCCAGTACGAGACACTGCGTGTGAACAATGCTGTCGAATGCCGCGGGATAAGTAAGATGAGTTTATTCCTAGAGGATCTTTGATCGTACTGGCAGAGGAGGCTTAGTTTTGTATAAAGATAATATGGCGCTTTAAGGATAAGGGTCTTATGTACCAGAGATAGGCAATG